AGGAGGTTGGATCAGATCATACAAGGCCTAAAATGCCAGGCTAAGGTGGGGCTTCATTTATGGCTAACAGGGAACCTTGAGGATTTTGGAATGAGGGTAAGATGACATACAGAGCCAAGTCAGAATTGCTCACAAAGACTCAAAGAGTGCTGGCTGGACCAAAGGAGCAAATGGGGGCGACCCTAATAATGCTCGGAGGGACAGAGGGACTCAAAGGCCAGCTGAGATCTAAATATAGCACCAGGCCATGTGCAGTTGAAGACACTCAGGAGCAGAGGCTGGTGGATCCCACAGGGACTGAAGCCTCCAACATCACAGCCGCCAGGCCAGAAAGAAAGGGCCATGGATCTTTCTCTACATGTGGAAACATGAAACACTTCTCTGCGAAACCTCACTGTGAGAGGAGGAGGGGCTGAGCCGGAGAAGAAGAAAACATCTCAGGGCAAAGTCCTCTATGTAAAGGCCCTAGGGACTCCAGGGGCTGCTACCCCTGGGCAAGGGGAGTCACCAGGAAGACAGCGTTGTGGGGATGTGCATGCCAGGCCCTTTCCTGAGTCCCTGGTGGAGGATGGGGGTAACTGGTTGCCCCTGCCTTCAGTAAATCATTCAGACAGAGGACGTGGGAAAGCTACAGCCTAAGCTGATGTGCCCCCTCCACAGATGGGAAAATTGAGGTCTGGGCTGGCTAAGGAACATTATCCAATAGTTTTACTACCACAATTTTAACTAGGGTGGCAAAGGCAGTATTTAGGGCCAAGACACCGTCCGTGGTTCTGAGCTACAAGTATTCAGTCCTACAGGTCTATCTCTTCAAGAAGTTGTGTGGGGCTCTAAGACAGTGAAGGATTCTGTCAAACGGCACAGGCCCACAACCCCGTCTCTGAGGCTCTCTGGGAAAAGAGGGAGAAGTAGATGCAAGAAGGGGATACCGCTGTTTGGAGTGTCACACCAATGCTCTTCGGTCCCCAGTGTGGGAATATAAGATCACACCTAATTTGCATAGGAGGCAACTGAGGCACGGAGCAAACAGGCAGCCGACTCCAGGTAGACAGTAGGCCACAGATGGGACCCAGGTTCCACGCTAACCTCTGGGTTCTGTACTGGGAGAAACAGGAGGGGAGACTTAGAGAACATCCGGGAACCAAGGCCTGACCTTGACGGAAGGAAGAGGAAAGATCAGACGCACAGATGCCTGCAGACCTGAGTGCATCTGACAGTCACAGGGCCCGGGGCAGATTCTGTTAGGAAATTCTAGAAGATAGCACAGAGACAGCACCACGTATGTACACTAGGTGCACAGTACCTACTATGTCCCAGGCTCTGGGTGAAGCACCCTTCACTCCTTTCTTTATTGTGTGTGGTGTTTGCCTGTGTGTGCAGGCAAACACAACTACGTGTATACATGCGGCAGCCAGGTCAACTTCAGGCGTCTTCCCTGTCATTCCCCACCACATACTTTTGAGACAGAGCCTCTTACCGAATCCCAGAGCTTGCTGTTGTGGTTAGACTGGCAGGCCAGGATGCGTCTGGTACCCCCTGCCCCGTTTCTACCTCCTCCTCCAGCAATAGGATTATAGGCACACGCTGCCATGCTCGGATTTTACCTTAGTGCTGGGGATCCGACCTCGGGTCTTCATGCTTGGACCTCAGTCAGCTTGGCCACTGAGCCAGCCCCCCACCCCGCAGGTGAAGCCCTGTTGAGGCATCTTCTCAGCACTGTCAACCACCTACGGCTGATTCAGCTCACAGCAGGAGAATGGCCACCCTGGGAGCAGCAAAGAGACGTGGTGCTGGGCGGACATAGAGGGAGCCGTGGAAGGCGTGGTTCACTGTGGCAGCCTCGGGGGTGAACTTCTGGGAGCCCGCCAGCCCAGGCTGAGGCGTGTCTTCCCTCCCAGGCTACACATCTTTCCCAAGCATCTTCCCTCAGGCTGCACCCAGCGCCCAGGGGGATCTGTGGAGGAAGGGCTTGGCTTGCACTGTCCAGAGGACTGTGTCCTGCAGTGACAACAGAAGGGGACAGTGGGGAACCCAAGGCTCCGGGGCCACTCCTGGCCCTGGCTCTTTATCCCAATTTCTTTCTTTCAAAAGGAAGGGGAAATTGTACACTAATTAAGGCTCAGGTTCTGAAATAGTGTGGGGTCAAATCCAGCCTCCACCAATGCTGAGGAGTGACCCTGGGAAAGAATTTACACCTTTGGGCCTCAGTTTTCCCATCTGTAAAATGGGCATGTAACAACAATGTTGACCTCAAACTGTTGTGAGAATTAAGGTGTCTGATTAACATGTGGCAATCCACCAACAAACATTAAGCAATTGACTTGAGGAAGGAAAAAACTCCAAAGTAATTCAATACATCGTTCCCACATGCAAACAAGCTAAGGATATGAGTATGGTGTGGGCTATAACCGCTATCTTCTTACTGTTTACAGAAGGAGGGGAAAGTGGGGCTGTCAAATTTCCTTGGGAGAGAAATATCTTTTCCTTTGTGTTTAAGAAAAGAATCTAAAGAGCTAGGGCTGAAGTAACAAAATACATCTAGACCAAGGTGAGTGTGTGTGTGTGTGTGTGTGTGTGTGTGTGTGTGTGTGTGTGTGTGTTCCATTCGTGCAGAGCCAGAGTTCGGGGAAATGTCAGATTCTTGGAGAAGGAGATTTTAATTAGGTTAGAGTTGCCTCCAAAAAGTACTAAAATTAAATATGAATCCATAATGCATGGCATCATAGCTAATGGCATGCAAATGGGGCCGGGCCAGCTGCAGCGGGAACTTAGGCTATCGAGGTAATTGGGAAAAATGTCCCTTGGCCCCAAGCCACAGTCCTGAGGATCTTGCGGGAGAGAGCAGGGCCTGGGTGTTGGGCTGGTGGGGCAGCTACTGTCACTTTAATGGGAGGACTGCAGTGGAGGGAAGCAGCCACACTACCAAGGCAGGGGCTGAGACAAGACCAGGCCAACTCTGCTGCTGATACCAGCTGCCTGGGGAGCTGCTTGGACGTGGAGGACACTGCAGCTGGCAGTCCCAGTCTTGCCTAGGCCACCGGCCAGCTGTGTAACTTTGAATAAGTCCCCCGCACTGGACTCTCTTACAAGGGAGGAGAGCTAAACTCACCCTCCAGTCCCCCAATGTTATCCGGGGTCAGGCTGGGCTAGAAATGTATTTTGAGTTTAAAACGGGCAATTACTGTTTTCGTCTTAGTGGGAGAATAGAAGAAGCAGAGTGTGGTGATGGACGCCTGTAATCCCAGCACGCTGGAGGTCGCATGCTGGAGGTCGCATGCTGGAGGTTGAGGAGGGAGCATGGCTGAGAGCTCAAGGTTAGCCCTGACTACATGGTAAGACTCTGTCTACAATAAATAAACAAAACTAAATAATCAAATACGTAAAGGCAGACAGTGAGTACTTTCTATACACTTGGCACTTGGATCATGGCCCCTGGACCTTTGCTACAGTCCTAGGGAAACCGAGGCAAAGGAGTGAGGGGTTCAGAATTTCAATCTAGTGATTCTGATTCACGATTCTATTTTTTTTTTTTTTTGGTTTTTCGAGACAGGGTTTTGGAGGCTGTCGGTCCAGCCCAGCCTCGAACTCACAGAGATCCACCTGCCTCTGCCTCCCGAGTGCTGGGATTAAAGGCGTGCGCCACCACCGCCCGGTACAATTCTATTTTCCTAGCAGCTGCGCCACAGCGGGGTAAAGATGCTGCTGGCTGGCGCGGTGGCACACATCTGTAGCAAGGCCACAGTACTTGGGGACAGCTGGGGATCGAGACGACGGCAAGGCCAGTGCGGGCTGATAAAAGAGAACCAGTCTCAAAAGGGGGGTGTCCTGGGGGTGTCCGGAGTGGAGAGGGGCTCTATTCACATCTACCTGGGGCAACAGGGCAGTCGGCCACTCGCCCAGACATGCCGCTGCATTGTGAGCCCTGAAATGATTTCACAGTCTCAGGAGTCAGTTGGCTCCCTGGGAGTCTGTTTGCAGGGGAACCACATTCAAGCTGCTGACCCAGCCTCCTCCAGCTCCTTTCCAGCTCCAAAGCGCTGTGACTGGCCCAGCACTAGGGAGAAATGACCACCAAGGCAGCCCTGTGAAATCTGAGATGTCCACCCGGCCTCACAGCGCCCCGGTCTCCTCATCTGCAGTAGGGAGCCTCACAGCACTTCTGTGGAGCAGCGTGCCGGTTCCAGGAGCAGGTGCTGGCTTCTGGGCACCGCTCTAGGTGACAGACACTGGTCTGTGAACTGCATGCTCTTGTTTGCTTGTCCTAACTGGCTGAGGCAGCTCCCACTCTCCTACACACACACCAACTCTTTCTAGCCCCATTCACGGGTAGACTGAGGAGGGTAAGAACCTGAGGAAGGTTGCGAGGCAGGCTGTGAACCAGGGTCATAACCACCATGCTCCACGGTCCCCTCCAACCCACAGGGCTTCCTGCCTCATATGCACACCGTGAAGGGTGCTGTTGTGTCGTGTCCAAGGCGTAGAAGGTTCATCTCAAGTACCAAATTCAGCAAGATGCATAGAAAGTTCCAGCAAGGATAAGGGACTCAAAAGATGTAACACTAATGAATGAATGAATGAATGAATATGTAGGTGACTTTAGAGACAGCCATGGGTCCATTCTGACTCCTGGCTCTTCCAGTGACATGGTACCTGCTGATTGCAGCAGGACATGGGTCTCACAATGCCTAGACACAGGAGTGACAGTACATAGCACCCAGTGTCCAAGAACTTAAAAAAAGAAAACCCAGTTCTTTGGGGACCTGACAGGTGCATCAACTGTCACCTCATCAAGCCTCCATGCCCTAGGTCAGAAGAGTCCTTGCTTGTGACTTCCAAACCATCAGAGTCCTGTCTGAGCAGGTACCGATCCAAACAGCAGCCCCTGGGAGTGGCACCCAGAAGAGAAAATATGGGTCTGGAAACAGCTGCAAGGTTTCTGAGATGGAAAAGCGCACAGGCCCTTCCTTGGTGAGGGAATGAGTGCCAGGGGCCTTCGCCTATTGAGTTTTCATCAAAGTAATTTATTGATCAATACAGAGAACATGGCTAGTTCAGCGATTTTGTAAAAAATCACCATGTGTTGAATACAAGGAGCACTTTGCTGGATTGTGGCATTCGAGGCCCTGCAGGATCACCCGTGTTTTATGGCCTTCTGGGAACTGGGCGCTGGCAGTTACATCTTTGTGGCTTTATCTTCATGACACCAAAACATTTGGACGAAGGAGAAAGATGGGTCAATCTTCCAGATGTTTTTGTCTACCTGGCAACAAATATCAAGACGTTTCCTGAACAAGGTCACAACAGCAAACCTAGAGCCCATGAGGCTGGGAAGATGAGTGGGTGGGAGAAAATATGCTGTCCCTTCCTCACTCCCCATGGCCAAGGCCAGAGCAGAAGACTGGTTACACTCGCCGAGCACTGTTTACCAAGTGCCCCGCCCACACCTGACACTTAGACATCTGGAGATTTTTGTGCGTTTTCAGACGAGACTGGCTGTGTGTTCCCAGAGTGACACTGAAACTGAAAGGGCGGTGCCCACACAGATGCTCTCCAGACACAGCTTTATCTGGGTTAGCTTGATCTCCCAGGACCTCGGGTTCCTCATGTGCAAGCCTGGGGGACACACTGGAATGTGCTGACACACTGACAGTGCAATGAATGTTGGGCAGACATGGGCGGCTCCAGTAGACACGGCTGGTTCCAGAGCGGTTCTTCTGTTTGTTTGCTCAGTGTGAGTGCTGGTCTGGAGCCTGGGTTGGACCAAGAAGGGTAGGTAGTTCTATTACCATGGGTGAAAGACAAAGGAAATGTCTAGTTCCCTGGGGACAATGTACTACAGTAGAAACCCCAGGGGTCACTCCTACCTGGGCTCCTTTCCTCTCAAACCCCAGAGGGACCCAAGGAAAGGGGTTGGTGTCTCCTGTCACGGTGGCTGCAGCTGCACCAGGAAGGGCGAGGCCCCAGGGAAGGCACCTGGGAGGTGGAGGCATACAGATTAGCTGCCTCTTGGGTGGGTAAGTGACTCCAGCATGACTCCCAGACAGTGGGAACTATGAAGGTCACTAAGACAGATTTTCCCAGAAGCTGAGTCCCCACTATGATCTCTTAGGCCACTGTCACTTCCCTGGAGTCCAGAGCTTCTCCCTTCCCATTGCAGGTTTTGGGGTCACAGCACAAACCCAGGGACATAGGTGGCGTCAGGACCAGGATACTTACTCCACATCTCGGACATGACAATACCATCAGTCAAGGACACTCTATCCCCATGGTGGGACTTGTTTCCAGGCCAGCAAGACCAGATGTCTAGAATCCCAGACTGAACAGTTGGAGGCTCAGGATCCCCAAGTTTGGATATGGGGGATAATCTGCACATCCAACACGTATCCCAGCAGGCAGAAAAGCAAAACCAACCCTGAATGCCAAGAAAGCGAGAAGCCCTATTCCATCCAGAACTTAATCCACTTGCACAGAACACTGGAGCTGGGCAAAGAAAACACTGCCCACGCTCATCTGAAGCTTCCCATGCCACCTGCTCCAAGGGGCCAGCGGGATGCTATCATGCAGGACTGCGCAGCATTCACAGACGCTTGCACGCGGAGAGCCGGAGATCCTTTGTTGAGAGTCTTTCCAGCAGCCACCTTCTGACAATGTCCACAGAGCACCTTTGACAACAGGCAGTCCCGACCCCTGTCGTAGAGAATCCACTGGGTGGTGTGAGGTCCCCAGCAGCCTGCCTGTGCCCGCCTGGAACAGGGGACCATCTGCCTGCTAGCCACAGTTCTCCCCAACTCTGGCCCAAGCAGAAGGCTGGGCTTTGCAAAACTACCCTACAGTGCAGAAGGACGGGAAAGGGCGCGTGCACAGCCTATTATCTGGGCCCAATTAGTGGCTGAGACCGTCTTAGAGTGGTGAGCCTGCGGCCACCTCGAGGACTGAGGAGAGTGAGCAAGGACAGAGGTTGTTAAAATGCTCCTGCTGAGCCTGACACCTGCACCATGTCCTCCTGCCTCAAAGACATGGTAGTGCTGGGGGACTCTCAGCATATCTCCACCCAGCACGTGTTCGCTTAACGTAAGGAACCACCGCCCCAGAAGGCACAGCACTTCCCAATGAAGGGAGGTAGAACCGGGAACATCAGACACACGCCCTGCTTGCTCCCTACCTCAGGGAGGGGGCGGGGCCTATGGGGTCCGTCTCACCTGTGACTGCCACTCAACCTGACTTACCAGTACTTGCTAATCACTCACTGGGAACCTGGCTGAAGCAGCCACTGGGAACAAGCCAAGGGGCTACACTGCAGCCGGGCAGACCAGGAATCATGTCACGGGGACACCCAGCCTGGGCATCTCACTCACTGGCTTTCTTCGTCTGAGGCTCCTATTCCTTACCTGGAGCGGAACAGGGACAATCCCACTCACCTGAGGAGACCGTGAGGGTTACAAAAGACTGGAAAATTCTGGGGGCTCCATAGCTGTGAAAATGACAACATACTGAGACCAAATTCCTCCCACCTCAGAGAGGTCCCTGCCCACATGGGAGGTCAAGGGTCAGCCAAGTGGAAGCAGATGAGGTCAGAGAGGGAAAGTAGGAAGAACAGTCCCACCTTGTCCTTTGCTTCCTTCTGGAAGTAACAACACAGGTCTGAACCTGACTAAAAGCCAGCTGGAAGCAGGGCAGGGGACAGCCTGTCACAAAGGATGAAGAGACAGCAGGGTGGGGACTGTGGTGCTGGAGAATAGGGAGAAAGAAGGTGGACATCCAAACTGTGTGGACAAGTCCCAATGTCTGGATGTCAGCTGACTCAAAAGAAAAATCTCAGTGCAACTTGAAATGGAATCAAAGGCAAGGGCACAAATAAAGCATTAGGTCCAAGTGGAGAATCACTTGCATGACCGCCAAATGTTGGGTGTGTTGCTTTGTTTTAATTAAAAAGTATCTTTTAGCCGTGTGGTGGTGGCGCGAGCCTTTAATCCCAGCACTTGGGAGGCAGAGGCAGGCGGATCTCTGTGAGTTCGAGGCCGGGCTGGACCGATAGCCTCCTAAACAATACAGAGAAACCCTGTCTCGTAAAAAATAAAAAATAAAAAGTATCTTTTTTGATAAAGCCTAAAAGGAAACAGCCTGAGGCAAGCACAAGAGGCTCACAAGCCTTGGAGTCCCGAGACCCAGGACGTCCGGCAAGACCAACGGGACAGGAGAGAATTTCTGTAGCCAGGAGTGTTCTTAAACTAGCTAGGGGAAGTCTCCAGACAGGCTAAGGAGCTGGAGGGGATATGCACATCTCCAAGGGCTTCCCAGAGCAGGCAGGGCTTCTGCTAGGCATGAAGGAAGAGGAAGATGAGGAGGAAGAGGTTCAGCGGGAGGCAGGAGAGAACGGCACTGCAAGTGGGGCATCCAAACAGAACCAGAGCTGGAACCGCTGCGCAGCAGCCACGCTGCTCCCATCAGAAGTGAAGTGGTTCTTGGGAGAGCTTAGTAACCTGTGGCTGAGGGGTGAGGCGACTGCAGTGAAATCCAGAAGGTTGAGGATCCTGCAACATCTGCCCACCCAGGGTCATCCCTTGTAACTGGGACCACTGCCAGGGTGAAGAGCCCTGTGAGTCCAGAGACACCTGCTAAGGGGGCTAGGCTGGACCAGGAGAAAGGGATGAGCAGGAGGGATGGAAGCCCGCGCCAGTAGGGCACACGCACGCACACAGGCACACCAAGCACCCCTGAAAAGCAGGGTATAGAAGGACAGTGGGCCTCCACATCTAGTTATTGGACATAACAACAGCGACAATGTATCAGAATGTTGCACTGTGTCTCCCCCTATGTAATATAAACAACCACAATTTCTCATTACAAGTTAAAAACAACATTTAAATAAAGAAATAAGTAAAAGTGTTTTGCCTCTAAAGTAACCAAGCTTCTGCCCCATTGGTGATAAGGTAAACAATGCCACACAGGCTGAATGAAATGCACCCTCTCTGTATGCATTAGCCTGATAAGTCAGTCAGTCAGTCAGTCAGTCAGTCCTCATGCTCCTCAGGTGCAGATCTGCATCCTGCTCTTCAAGGTACTGCATACATGACATACTTCCTGGAACACTCTTAGCATGTGCTAAGTCCGCAATGGGTTGCTGTTGTCAATGGGTCACTCCTGTCCACGGGTGGCTGTTGTCAATGGGTCACTCCTGTCCACGGGTGGCTGTTGTCAATGGGTCACGGTTGTCTGGATTCATCAAGTGGCACTGTCTTCACAGAGTGGGTGGGAAATTAAACGTGGAAGGGAAGAAAGCCTAGCCCAGCGAGATCTCATGGATGCTCCTGCCCCAGCATCGTAGGCACTGCCCTACACTTGCCCTGTGGACTGTGCTCCCCCTCCTCCACTTCATTGGCTAAAGAGAAGTAAGATCACTCCATGCTCAACACACAGAAGCGCTCCTCAGTCCACCCCAAGCTCCAGACCCAAAGAAGATGGTAAGAGCTCAGCTGGACAATGGCCCTGTCGCTTTCTTTTTTCAGACCTTCCTGCCAGGTCATTGGGAGACCCTAGGACTCACTGCAGGTCTGGCTGGTGGCCAGACGTATCAGGCCCTGCCTGATCACCAGAGAAGGCTGTGAGATGGGTCGTCTGCCATCTGAGCAGCAGTTGCTCCTTAGGCAGCAGGGGACAGAACTTAGATTTTCAGTTCAGGGTAACGAGTTGTGAATGGGGTTGCAGGCCTAGCTGTACCTGAAGACATCCATGCAGCACAATGTTTTAAAGAGACATGGACATAGAGTTCTCAAGAGGTCCAGGCCCCTCATACATACCTAGCCTGCATCCACTGCTTATGCCCAGGGCAAAGGGAAAGTCAGGTCTATGGGGAGAACTCAAAACAGTGAATCAGGATGCTAGCTCTCTAAAACAACCCTCAACTGGCATTTCCTTTCTCACCTAGACATCTGAAACAGCATCCAATGGGCCTCCAGCTTCCACTAAAGTCATGTCCCACAGCCACCAGGATGACTTCTTGGAGGTGTGGGTTTGGTTCTGTTCCTCTCCTTCACAAAGTCCTTAGTAACTAGCTCTCCAGTGTCCTTGGGATCTACCCAGCCTCATCACTGTCACTCAGACCTTCAGGAGGGTGACCCGGACCACTTGTCCATCACTGTCACTCAGACATCCTTCAGGAGGGTCACCTGGACCACTTGTCCATCACTGTCACTCAGACATCATTCAGGAGGGTCACTTGGACCACTTGTCCATACAACTATTGCTCACTCTTGGACTTCCTTGAGGTTTTCAAAGAGTTTGCAATGTGAAACTGCTAGTATTTGATTGTGTTTGCCTACAGAGCTGGTAGTCTCTCACAGCCCAGCTTACACCGCTGCCGGCCCCTTGGGCATTTGAGCACATTCTGTCTGCTGACTGAGAACTCTTCCCTCACTCCTCCCCTCCCCCTTCACCTAACTGTCCTTTCTTGCTGCTTAGAGTCTCATGGCATTTTCTTAATCCCGAACTTTCCTCCTGGAACATGCTTTGATATCTGCCTCTCCTGCCAGACTGTGAGCTTTCTAAGGGCAAGGACCCTGCCTGTCTCACTGACCTTGGCATCTGGCATAAGACCGACCCACAATGAGCTTGTGGTAAAGCTACCTGTGGTGAGTCACCACCCTGCGGATGAAGCTCTGACTGATGGTTTGCTACCTGACCTCTGCTCCAGACGCCAGTCTCTGCTCCTGCAGAAGGAAGCTCCCTACATCAGAGACGGGAACCAAGCAAGCTGAGGTCTACGGTGTACTTGCTGTGACGCCCAGGAGGCTGCAACAACCAGTTTCCTCACTGGCCTGCAGCATCACCACAGGGTAAGCTGTGGAGGCAATAGAGTCTGAGCTCTGAGTGTTCTCAGCAAATACCGCCTTGGGTTTGGCCTCCATGGGGTTTGCAGAAGCTGGAGCTGGAATAGCCTTGGCCTTTTCAGGAACTCAGAAAACCTGGATGTCCTTAGCAGCCTTAGGCATACAGCTGGGCAGACTAAGAATTTCACAGGGAGAGACTCCCGGGCTCCTCTGTGACGTCAGCAGCCAAGCTGTGTGTGTCTCCATTACAGGAAGCCCACTACCCCCATGAGACAATTTACTGAGTCTTCAAATAGCACGAAAGATAAAATGGCTGGTACTGGCCAGCACTCACTGGTCTCAGTCCTGCAGGGACCTCTCAGGCCAGGCTTGCCTCCCGCTTGCTACAGACCTGAGACTTTTTAATTACATTTTTATTTATATATTGGAAGGGGGATGCACACGTGGAGGTCAGAAGACGATCTGTGGAAGTCAGTTCTCTCCAACCACCATGTGGGTTCTGAGGACTGAACTCAGGTTGAGTTGGTAACAAATGCTCTTGCTGGCTGAACCATCTTACCAGCCTGCAATTTATAGACAGTCGCTCTTGCCTTCATGTCTTCAAGTTCTTGTCCTTTACATCTCTCTCTCTCTGTCTCTGTCTCTCTCTGTCTCTGTCTCTCTCTGTCTCTGTCTCTCTCTCTCTCTCTGTGTGTGTGTGTGTGTGTGTAGCATGTGTGTTCATGGATGTATGCATATGTGTGCGGGTGCACATCCACATATGTGTGTGCAGGCGCAGAAGGACAGACACATGTGCATGGGACGTCAGAGAATGGCGACTTCAGGGGTCATCCTTAGGAAGGTCATCTACCTCCTCTGAGACAGTTTATCTCCAGGGTCTCTCACTGTCCTGGAACTCCATAAGTAGAATAGGCTGGCTGGCCGGTGGGCTCAGTGACTCTCCTGTCTCCACTTCTTCAGCACTGGGACTGCCGGTGTGTACCACTATGCCTCGCATTTTTATATGGGGTCTGAGAATCCTGCTCAGGGCCTCATGCTTGCCAGGCAAGTGCTTTACCAGCTGAGTCATCCCTTTCCTAAGATACTCGGTCTCCAAATCTGTGTAATGGGGACAGCGTGCACTGCACCCATTCCCCTGGGGTGGCAGATATTGATAGACGAAAGCACTACCTGTTAGCTGGACGAGGAGTTTACAGGAGGCTTAGGCCTTCCTCACAAGGCTCTCTGTCCAGTCTCAGCAGCAAAACAGCTCACGGGGAAACCTGCCCTTCGCCTGATGAGCCAGGCTGTTAGGCCATCGGCCCTCCCCAACCCCAGGGAGATTGATGCCTGAACTGACGGATCACTCCAATGTATTAGGTAGATAAAGAAATTGATTATTCTATAAATCACTGTCTCCATGAAAAAGGGCCCAATTTTTTAAAAAAGAAAATATTATAAATCTGTCCAAACCCCTGCGAGGGAAAGTGTGTAGCTGTTTCAATTTAATTGTCTGAGAGCGTCTTTGCTGTAGCACCAGAAAGAAAAGCCCTGGAAATGAATAAGTCTTGAGCTACAGGTCTCTATGCCTTAAGGAGAGGCCAGGCCTTGGACCAGGAAGCTCTATCCTGCAGCAGGAAGAGTCTGGGTCAGCTAGAAATAAAGGAGAATCACATACATCCCTCAGACCCTCAAACGGTGGATCAGCTAGAAATAAAGGAGAATCACACACATCCCTCAGACCCTCAAACGGTGGATCAGCTAGAAATAAAGGAGAATCACACACATCCCTCAGACCCTCAAACGGTGGATCAGCTAGAAATAAAGGAGAATCACACACATCCCTCAGACCCTCAAACGGTGGATGTTGGAGGATGGGAGAATGAATGACTCGGTAGGCAAAGTGTTTATTGCACAAGCTTGAAGACCCAAGTCCAGATGCCCATCACGTATGGAAAAGCCAGACATGGCTGTAAACATCTGTAACTCCATGCTGGAGGGTGGAGACGAGCAGACCCCAGAGTCTTGCTAGCCAGCCAGTCTAGCCAAAATGGCACATTCCAGGTTCAATGAGGGACACTATCTCAAAAACAAAGGTGGAGAAATAATTGAAGAAAACATCCAAGCACTCTTGCATGGGTTAGCTTGGGCACATGCTTGAGTTCTCTCTCTCTCTCTCTCTCTCTCTCTCTCTCTCTCTCTCTCTCTCTCTCTCTCTCACACACACACACACACACACACACACACAATCTTTTTTTTTCGAGACAGGGTTTCTCTGTATTGTTTTGGAGGCTGTCCTGGAACTCGCTCTGTAGACCAGACTGGCCTCGAACTCACAGAGATCCGCCTGCCTCTGCCTCCCAAGTGCTGGGATTAAAGGCGTGCGCCACCAACGCCCGGCCACACACACACAATCTTAATTGTTTCACAATTTGAAAAGTTAGAAGGAATTCTGTCTAAAGGCAGCACCAAAATGAACCCTGGAGGGTAACATGGGGTGTGATAGTTCCTGGGAGAAAACAAACTGAGAAAATTAACTGGAAGAGGTAAGGGAAGCCAGGAGGGCAGAAGCAGAGTGTCTGGAAAAGATGGGCTTCCTCGCCCGTGTCTTCTGTGTGGTGTGCAGCTCGGCTCTGCGCATCTCGGAGCTTCCTTACTTCTCCCCAGGATACAGGAAACGCAGAAGCTCCAAGCACAGGGCTATTATGAAGGCTGTACACATCTCAGTGTGAGGGACCACGGTGTTATCACTACCTGGATCTACAGAAAGAGCCCTCAGATGCTCCCTAGCTCAGGACACAGCTACACCCCACCCCTGCAGTTCCCTGTCCTGCGCACTTTGCGACATAGAGTGGGCGCTCCGCTAATGTTTGGTGAGTCAATGAGTCAGCCTAGAATCCATGTGAAAAAGACAGGAAATAAACACAAAATTACAAACAGCATAAAAATAGCCACATTTCCAAAGCAGCTTTTTTTTTTCTTTCTTAAGGGAAGCAACAAAAAAGTCCCCAATGCCTTGACGCTGGCATTTCTTGAGCTAGGGCCCCTAAAGCACCTCTAATTGCAGTTGCCACACCCCACTCTCCCAGTGCACATTCTAGGTCTTTCTATCTGCTGTTGGCTTCTGGGGCCACCTTTCCTCTGTTGTCCTGACGTGTATGGCTGTCTCTGCCTCTGGGTTTTGATGCAAGTGCTCCCAGCCAATTCTCAGTGCCCTGGTGATGGACAAAAGCTCCCCCATCCTCTGTGACAAGTGACCCTTTCTCATGGTTGGATCTTCCTATCTAAGAGATGCCTCTGTCACACCCACCCCCGTCACCAGGCCTCTCTGACACATCCAGGTGATGACGCACCTGGAGCTGGGGCTCTTTGAGGGAACACCACAAATCTGTGACACACTGGTTTCCCATCACCTGAATGAATAGTAATTTTATTTATTAGCGGAAAATAAGGCTCTATTACAGGTGCACAGGGCTCCACAGCTCAGGAAACAATAACACAGAAAACACGTTTAAGAAATCACATTTAGCAGACTAAAACTACATTACAGAAGCCCACTTACCAAATGCAATGTGAAAGATGACGCCGGCGGGCCAAGCAGAGACTCGTGGTTATCAGGTGTGTTATCTGACAGCCGGATGCTCATGCATTTTGTCATCTGCTACCGCTCCCTAGCAGACAAGCCGTACATGGCACCGAAGATTTAAGGACAGTTCATGTGGAAGGGAAAAAGGGAGAAATTCTACCCAGAGGGTTCAGCTTCCGTAACCATGTGTTACTTGACTCTAACAAAATTCCCTATGTTTTCTCACCAGTCGTGGTCTTCTTAGAGACTGCTGCCCTGTAAGTGACTACCAGAGCCCACGGGGACCTGCACTTGAAGGCTGAACACCTGTTCAGTGTGACCTTAGCCACACCAGGACTAGAAAGAAGAGCCATTGAGCAACACAGAGCCTCATGGTCTAACCCAGAAATTGGCTGCTCTCCATGGTGCTGAACACGGTGGCAGCCACTCCGTGCAACTCTCCCGCCCCTCCCCCCCCCCTGAGTGAGCCCAGCCGGGCTATTATCTAGGAACTTCTATAAGCACATACAGATCCAATCTGTATTCTCTCTGTGTGGAAAGGTATTTCAGAGGTGTTTTTTCCACACTGGAAAATTCTAGTCTGTGTAGATCTCTAAAGACTGCTTGTCTAGTCAAGCAGAGCGGCTTGTGCTAGCAGCCAGAGCTACTCGGGTAGTTGATGCTAGGGGACCACTTGAACTCAGGAGTCCAAGGCTAGCCTGGGCAACAAAGTAAGATCCTGTCTCTACTAATAAATAAACTATGAAGTTAAAGCTTCAAAGTGGTGTGTGTGTGTGTGTGTGTGTGTGTGTGTGTGTGTGTGTGTGTGTAAGAGGTCAGGACCAGAAGTTCATGCTTTAGTCTCATTTTTCCCCATAGCTCACCAAGAAGCATAGAACAGTGTTCCCAGTGTCCCATGTCAAATGAGAGAGATACCTATGTGGTCCCAACACTGGCCATGCCCCTACTGGTGCTCATGCTTCCATGGACTCCGACAAGATCCAACACTATGACCTGGTCTCCTCCGACATGAAAGAAGAACTTTCTGGATTCACGAGAAAGACCCAGGCTCTACTTCTCTTATAAGAAGTCAGGGACTCAATCTTCCTGTTGGAGGCTCCCCCAAGCCTCACTCCCCAGGGACCAGCTGTAATTCAGTTTAACCTGAGAGATTCCCCCATATTTTATTTATTGATTTGATGTTACGAGACAAGTAAAATAGACGCTGTCACCTCTATTAAACTGGAGGAAAAACGTCCTTGTCAGCAACAGGCTCTTGCTGCTTATGAAGTGTCACCTGTTTCCCTACAGAAAGACATGAGAAAATGGTAGTGCCTGGATTACAGTAGGGGGCTGTCCTCCTATGTTATGTCTGTAAGGGCATGGGGAGGGCTGCTTCATGATTTTATAACACTCTCAGTTATACCACAGTGATGGACACGTCATCCAGACACCAGGAAGTGAGACCATCACCAAAGTCCTCAGTTTACCCAGAGACCCAAAGGGAAGACTGCTATTACTCATTGGGCTTTGACAAAGAGCAGCTACCAAGCCCTAACTTGGTAATATAGCTCTACAGAAGCACCCCCCCTTGGGACATCTCTGGGAAGTATATAGCATATGTACATGCATACATACACTTCAAGCACCCAATGGGGATGCACAGACCTCCATGTTACACCTCAGCTGTCATGTCAATCTGCTGTCTCCGCATGCCAGCAGGATCCAGACAGGTGGCGAAAAGAAGAAGAAGGGATAGCCGATGTATGACTGGCAGAGGTGCAAGCGGTTCAGCCACCGCTCTGCCTGACAGCCATCCTGAGTAACCAGCCCATTAAGGACCAGATGGCACAAGTTCGTATCCTTACACCAGTCTCCGAGAGAACATCAACGATGCTGAGCAACCAGTGAAAAGGAGAGGGGTGAGGTTGGAAAAGCTGGGGGGGGGGTTGCTCATGATGCATCCTCAGTCTCTTCCGGAAGCAGACAGCTGCGTCTCTCTCAAGAGGATAGCTTTCATGATACAAAGTAGACAAAGAATGGAATGTCTAATCCTGGGCTTGCAAAGAAAGGGCTCACTGCCCCCAGCCACTCCAGTGTAACCCAGTAGACTAGATGGGAAAGGTCTTGGTAAAGACAAGATCCACCTGTGTGCTGGGAGAATAGCAGAGGCCTCATGAGTACCTTGACTTCAGAGATGAATGCAGGTTCATAAAATCCTCATGGATGAAACAGAAAAGGTGCTGAACTGAATGACAAGGCTGTTAGGTAGCCTCTGCCCAGGTGGCCTCTGTCCACACGATCATAGTCATGGACACACGCATTTGATTGACAAATGTTGACTCATTGTCTATGATGAGCAAAGCACAAACCGTGCCGGAGGCAGAGTCCAGCAGAGAGCAAGTGCAACGCGCTCTGTGCCTCTGCTGTGCTTATCGCTATGGCGACTTGAGAACAACGCAATGGGCACCACACCCAGGGCAGTGAGGAGGGCTGTGGGGATCAAGGAAGGCTTCCTGGAGGAAGACATGGTTGCTGAGAGGTGAGTATGAGTAGAAGTTGGCCAGATGGAAAAGCAGGGCAGAAGACAGGGTGAGAGTGGAGAAGCAGAGCCTTCTTGGAGGCCTTAAACATTTGTTAGGAACGAAAGAGGTGAGGTGAGGATGGGCCAAGCCTGAGTCCAGAGACTGTGGCCGCCGCCATGGAGAACACTAAGGCCTAAAGGCGTAAAGAAACCGGTGCTTGTATGCAGTTGGTGAAGGTGAACTGAGGAGGGGGATCCAAGGCCACATGATGAGTCCATCAGGCACTGATATCAGCCATGTTCTCCAGCAAAACAGACACAGCTGTAGGGAAGGACCTGCCCATCTCAGGCTCTGATGGCATGAGGCATGCTAGGCAGCATAATAAGCAGTCTCCAAAGATTTACTGCTGACCAGGGGTCCCAGCCTCCTTCATAGGCACTTCATCTCTACAGACCCCAGGAAGGAAGACACAGAGGAAGGGGACAGGGACAATATACCCACTTTCTGAGATGGAACTGTGACAACAGGCCTAGGCGGTCCACCAACAGTGAACAAGAAGAAAAAAGACTACATGAAGACTCAATGGCAGAACTCCCTGGAGATAAACGACAGGCCCTGCCTTGAGGCGTAGACCACTGTCACCAAGAGGATGAGAGAAGTTGTAGACTGGCAGTGAATTTTGTGGCAAAGACCTCAGGAGCTGGATGTGGTGGCGCATGCCTTCAATTCTAGCACTCTGGAGGCAGAGACAGATGGATCTCTATGAGTTCGAGGCCAGTCTGGTCTACATACTAAGTTCTAGGCCAACCAGGGTTACGTGGTGAAACACTATCAAAAGCAAACAAAAACAAAAATAAACAGCAACCAAAAAAACCACACGTCATATCTCAGGAGACCTCCAGCCTGGTACAGCTCAATAAAGAGAAATGGCGGCTTAAATACCTAATAGAACCAGGAGTTGCGTTATTAGAGGCCAAGGCTAAGACCCAGGGAGATTGTATGATGAAAGGCACATTGCTGGTGGGGCTGGGCATCTTTGTCAGGATGGGACAGGGAGCCACCTCAACCAGTGTCAGGGTGATCTAGCACGAGCTTTGGGGAGCAGCTACAC